AATACATGCGTACATACATACATACATACATACATACATACATACATACATGCACATATGCACATACATACACATATACATATACATACACATATACATATACATATACATATACATATACATATACATATACATATATATATATATGTAGAGATGTAATTGTGTGCAGGTGTATATCTGTATGTATGTTTGTATGCATATATATCTATATATGTGTGTGTATGTATGTATNNATGCATATGCATATACATACATACATGTATATGTATATGCGGGTTTCACCATATGCAAGCGTCTTGTTCTGAATTTTGCGCATCGCGTTTGTGACAACCCACAGCATCTGCACCGGTGCTGTGCACAGTTGATTAATTGTTTGCTACATGCATCTATGCCCCGAACTGGCACTATGTGGCACGTGTTCGTGAATGATCTGACAGCTCTCACTCTATCGCTGCCACACTTGATATCCCTATAGCTTCATTTCCCCCTAGCCCAAGCCCTAGAAGAGGATACTTTAAGAAGGGGATAACCCAATCATCGCAAACCTCCTCGACCCGTAAGTTCTCAACTGTAGTAGCCGCCAGAGCTGACAACAGAGCAGGTTAATTCAAAGGCCGGAATGCTTGCGTGCCAGTCTTAATCCTCGATTTCTTTACCGTATATTTACTGGGTATACATGTACCGCCCCAAACCCTGTTCTAACAGTTAAGGCCACTATGTTATGCCCCTTGACCAACCGGGCAAGGTACATACACTGCAACAGTAGGTAGTTTCGAACCCCTGAGCCACGGTGCAGGGTTCAAGGTTTAGGGGTTTGGGGTTTCAGGTTTAGGGATTTAGGGCTTAGGGTTTAGGGGTTTTGGGGTTTAAGGTTTAGGGATTGGGGTTTTGATTTTTGGCCTGAACCCTCAACCTGGAATCCCAAAGCCTGAAGCCAAAAGCCCTCATGGATTTGTTGAAGAGCCCTTATGGTAACCCTCACGAAACCCTCAACCTCGGACCATACAAGACCCCAGAGCCTCAACCCAATGCCACATCCCTAAACCCAACCCTGAACCCCAAACCGGCGCCTTCCCAGCCACAGGAGACGATCAGTGGCAAGGGGGGTCCGCCAAAAGGGCACCTGGGCAGCACAGGGTTTAGGGTTTGGGGGTTCGGGGCTTACGGGGATGCTTCCTTCCAGACCCTAAGCTTGCCTTTTATGCTACATGAAGCTACCACAACCTGCGTTTTGTAGGTTCTTATTCTGAACCCTGGTATAGTAGTAATAATCATGCGAATAAAATAACAATAATATTGTTTGCGGGACCTTTTCCAGGATTTAAGCCTTGATAGCTCAAGGTAGAATTTGACGGTTTAGGGTTTGGTGCTTTAGGGTTCAGGGATGCAGGTTTAAGGATATAAAATTTAGGGTTGTGCACTCAGTGTTGTTTATGGTGGTGGCGCTTCGCCCCAAAATCCGAAGTTTGATTTTCTGGGGCTTGTGGCTGAGAGAGCTAGTTTAAGTTTCCATACCAGGATCCATTGCAGGCAGGATGCTTTTCTTTACTTATAAGTTACTTATATTATAAGCTCGTTAGCTCGTTAGCAAGATCCGGTTTAGGGTTGCACGCCAACTTAGCCTTGCGGGATTCTGCATCGGGCTACAGCAGGGTCGAGGGTGTAGGGTGTTCGGCGCCCCTAACCTTAAACCCTAAACCCTAAACCCTGAACCCTAAGCCGTAAATTCACGTCGGTGGACCCTCAAGGCTGGGATTTGTACGGATGACTCAACCCGTTCTGCTGGGATTTATGGCTTAGGATTTCGGCTCGTGGCGCTTTTGAGAAGTTGTGGCTTCTGGGTTTCAGGGTTCGGTGTTTGGGGCATGTTTCCTCAAGCACTGGCTTCGCCAGCCATTTCGGGCAAAGCTATTGAGTCGAGTTAGTTCGGAATTAGCTCCTCGGACCCTAGAAGGGACCCCTAATCCTAATACCCTAATATAACCCTTATATACCCCTTATATAGTCTCATAAAGCCCCTATATAACCCCAAGGGTCCCTTTAAGGGTCTCTCACACTATGTTCTTAGGGCCTTTGGGCTCGCCTTTAACACTCTTTTGCTATGCCCGCGAGCCCGACTCTAACAGTAAGGCCCCTATATCAGCCGGAAGAATCCCGAAACCCTAAACCCCTAAACCCTAAACCCCTAAACCCGCCCAAAAACCCAAAACCCCAAAACCCCCAAACCCTAAACACTAAACCCTAAACCCCTAAACCCCAAAACCTAAACCCAAAACCCCTAAATACCAGCGCCCACGCTGAGGTTCATGCAGGATCTGATCCTCAGGACCTTCGGGGACCTGCGTGTCTGGAGGGTTTGGGGTTTAGGGGAGCCTGGTGGGGTATAGGGTTTGGGGTTTAAGGGTTTGGGGTTAGGGTTTTGGGTTTTTAGGGTTTAGGGTTGGATTCACCAGCGAGGTGTTTGTGGCATGATTCAGCAACCGATCAGTCCGTCGTTGCAAACGGATGATCGTGCCAAAACGTCACATGCACGTATAAAACCCTAAGCTGTGTATTTCAAGATCCCTGAATCCTAAAGCATAGCTGCCTTACAATAGCCTTTTTTTTTAGTAACCCTTGTAGTATGTAGCCCTTCAAAATTTACTATAGTAACCTTTATTCGAATACTAACCTTTCGCCCCAAAAGCAAGCAACAACCCCATACAGCTGTTCAGGAGCTTCTTCGGAACTTGGCGAGAGAACGGCTGGATCAAGATGTCCAGGACGGCTTCTTTTCAACGCCTTTTTGAGGGTTTAGGGATAATGGTTTACATGTGTTTAACATTAAGAATGCCCCCAACAGAATACTTTCTAGGGGCTTATAGGTATTTAAGTGTTGGTTATGGGCACGTTGGGTATCTCTCAAGGCTGCGTAAGCACTTCTGTAGTTGGCTTCCTACTCCAAGAAAGAGCCGCTCCCCCAACAATGTATCCTATCTCTCTATACATGAAGATGAGGCCTTGCTCAAAGAGGTGCCTCGTCAAAAGACCTCATATTCATCCCTAAATCCAACTTATGGTTAAGGGTTTACATAAGCCTAAGCCTTAACCTTCGCGTGGTCTTCTGGGCCCCTAAAACCAAGAGCGCTTGAAGTGAAAAACCAAAACCGAAACCCTATATAAAGCTTAAACAACCCCCCCCCCTCCTCCAACAAAAAAACCTCAAAACCCTAAAGCCCTTAGCCCTCAAACCTCCCCCTCCCCCCCCTTTACCCCCCCGCCCCCCTCCGACGCGTGCAGGAAGTACACCGGCGAAAAGGGTCAGGCCGGGCCTGGGCAGGGTCAAAAAAGGGTTCAGGGGGATAGGGAATAATTGGACTATGAAGGGGAGCTTTCGAGCTTCGGGGTACAGGGCGGCGTAGGGTTTAGGGTGTAGGGGTTTCGGGTGGTTTAGGGTTTAGGGGGTTTAGGGTTTTGGGGCTTAGGGTTTACGGTTATCCCTTGACTCAGCCCTTGACTCGTTCATACTAATCGCTATACCATACCTATAGTCTCCATTGTAGTTCCTTATTGGGGTTACCTTTTAGGTTCCTTAACATAAAATTGGTTAAACCAAAAAAAGGAACTACATTGGAGACTGTAGGTAGTATGTACCCCAGACCGGTGGTGTGGACCATGAAGGCCGCTAGATTGGGGCTCCTAGGCTTTGCGTTCCACAGTTTTCAGCACTAGGGCTCCGAATAAGGGTCTAAGTAGAGTTCAGGGCCCTGCTTCAGGGTCTGCTGGATTTGTTCAAGGGCCCTTTTGGCTAAGTTCCTTTGGGTTAGGGTTGAGGGCCTAGCTTCGAGGTTCAAGCTCAAGGCTTCAAGGCTTTTCGGTTTCTGGTGCGAACTTAGGGTCCATTCTGTCAGGCTCTTGAAGGGCGTGAATTTTGATGCCTAAACCCCAAATGCTACACCCTAGAAAGTAGTCAAGGTTCGTCGCCTTCTTCCTCATTGGGGCCCCCCAGTCGAGATGATTCATCCCAGCTGGATCCTACAGCAGTAGAGTTTGGGGTTCAGGGCCAGGGTTTGTGATTTAGTGTTGACGGGGTTTCCTACCCCCCCAAACCCTAAACCCTAAACCTTAACCTGAGTCCCGATCGATATATATGTATGTACGTATATATGTATGTATGTTTGTATGTGCGTATGTATGTATGTATGTATGCAAGCATGCATGCATGCATGCATGCATGCATGCATGCATGGATGTATGTATGTAGGTATGTAGGTATGTAGGTATGTAGGTATGTAGGTATGTAGGTATGTAGGTATGTAGGTGTAGGTATGTATGTATTTATGTATGTCTGTACGTATGTATGTATGTATGTATGTATGTATGTACGTATGTATGCATGTATACATACACACGCACACACCCCGCCCACACATTTTCGTGAACAAAGAGTAAATCAACATACATACAAAAATAATTCATACATACATACATACATACATACATACATACATCCATATGTACAGACATGCATGCATGGATACATGCATACGTACATATGTACATACGTACATACATACATACATACGTACATACATGTATACGGGTTGCAGTACCCTCCCACCTGACTGCACACGGGAAGGAAGATGGCAGGAACACTCAGCAACCCGCTTCGTGTTTGTCACCAACCGAAGTTGGTGTTTTTGGTCACAAACTATATGGCATGACATGGCATACCATCTCACAACAGTCGAGTCATGGTAATGATAGCCACCGAATTACACTCGTCGTCCTATGTGTTGGGATGGAGCTGGATTTTAGGGGGGGGCTGGGGGGCCCTAAGAAAGCAGTGATACTCGTGTTGATTGTGGTGATGGTGTTGATTGACTACGCCGGTCATTGCAGTGAGGGTGTCAGGCATGGCCTTTGATCAACGTGGATGTGCTCGAAAAGCGCAGCATCCCGGCTCCAGCTTAGTTCCACTAGGCGACATGCACGGGCTGAATGGATGGGTCCCTGCCGACATGGACGGGCATACAGAAGGAGACCCTCGAGCTCAGCTTTCAAGCTCCAGCGCGATGCAGCCCCACTCAGCGAGTTCGTGTGATCCTTGTATATTCCTGGGAACGTCTGCTGGCTGCCGGAGGGACGCCTGTCCCTTCTGTCACGTTCATCTGTTCCGGATGGAGGTGAATCCAGAGAGGCCCGGGAAGCAGATCCGAATGAGGCTGAAAAGGACGGGTTCCAAAAGTTCAACCGGAAATTTAGAAGTGCACATCCCACCCCCGGTCCAGGACCTTGAACACGATTTTGCAATTGCGGGAGAACTCGCCAGACAGGGTCCACGATGAGCTCCAACGATTGGCTCGAAGGAGCGGCTTTGCGCGCAACCTGATTACAGGCCCTGGGGCTGGGGCTTTTCGTGGTAAGTCTAAATTCGAGGAAACATGTAAAGGGCACTTCTTAAAGGGCAAATGCGAGACAGGCTTCAAGACTTCAAGGTTTCAGAAACTCCCGGAACAGCTGGTCCTTTTTGCTGGGTTCAGGTCTTTTGGAGCGTGAAGGAGACCCGGATGAGGAGGTTCAGGGCGGCAACACCACAACTTCTCCTTCAACAGATGGCTTCTCTGCGGCGATGTGAGACTTGAGAGTTTTAAGCATTTTTAAACCTCAAGCTGCACCGGGTCATGGCCTTGCTGAGGAGTGCATCATCAGCCAGTGCCAGGAGTCTGTCCAAGCCTCAGGTAGACAGTGGATACGTGTGAGCAGAGGCGAATGCCTGCGCAGACTCTGTTGCACGACTCAGGCATTTTGGACGATGGGTTTGATTTCGACGCCTTCCTGAAGGGTGAGCCTCTGTCGCTGTAGCCGCCCCAGTATACACCGTCTTCTTCCTCGGAAAGAATGCTGCATGACTTATGTCGCAACGATATTTACGTCTCGGAGCGTCGGCAATGCCGGGCGCGACGTCCAATTCAGGAGAGGTTTCTAGATTCTAGTTGATGTACACCAGAAAAGGAAACCCAGAAGCTGAGCCTCACGACTGGGCCAGCCACCGTACGTTTCAGATGGCCGCCGGTTGTCACTAATCTCGCAACTGCCTCAAATGTTACTTGTGTGCCTGCGTTTGCAGAGAGGTCCACATTGGGAATGTACGTGCATCATGAGTGAGGGCAGACTCACTTATGTCGCGATACTCCAAATTGTGGCCTGCTGGCAAAGCAAGTGTAGCTGCACCACGTAGGTTGAAATCACATCCACAGTCAAGTTCCATATCCAATACATCTAAGCCTTTCTTTGCCAGCTCCGCTGCCGATTCTGATGTATTATACACAACAGAAAACGGCAGACACGCAGGCACTTCAAGTCCAGCTTGCTCCGGACACATTGAATGCCGATTGCAGCTGGAACTTTTTGTGAACGAATCTTTGACGATCGGCCTTTCAAAATTTTGTTTCGGGTGTGGTGTTGATCTCCGTCGGATTGTAAAGTACATTTGCCGGTTACTTCGTCTCGAAGTTGCGGACCTTCCCCGAGACAGAAGCAGCATTCGTTTTGTCAATGTGATTGCAAGCTATGACTTAAGGAAGCTGTTTCCGCAGGCTGCTGGGAAGGTATGGGTGCATCAGCCTCACATGGACGCTGTGGCTTCTCTGGCAACTCTACAATATTCAGTTGAATTGATATTGGGCAGAACCGATCTCTTCATTCATGGTTTATCTTGTGCACGGCTGATGTGCCCACAGTCGGTCAGCCGGACGCTGACAAAGCGGTCTGCAACCATGCTGCCTCAAAAAACCGTCGTAGTGTGCACATCTGTAGACACAAGTGCTTGGCTCGATCATGGCTGGTGTTAGCCCTCCTGTGTCATGGTGCAATGTACGCTTAGATGGGGCAACGCAAAGATGCAGAAACGAGCCAATCGCGAGGAGAGAGGAACAGCTCTCTTCAACCTTGTTCCTAGCTTTGGCCGTAGCCGGCTCGCAGACGAGGTTCTGCTTTTTGATTCGACTGGGGTCCGACTGCAGGTCGGGTTGTTTGTTCTACTGGGATGACTGCCGGTGAAGTTGAATACAAATCAATCTCGTTTCACCTATGCCAACAATCAAAGAAGTCATCAAGGCTTGGAGAAATGCTGCTGCATTGATTGCAAAACCGGACAGCAATTCTTGGGTGCTTACACTCCAGCAACAGATGTTCCCCCCCGGGCGAGGTTCGCCTCGAGGTTCGAGCGTCCCAGCAAGCGGCCGCTTGGTGACCTCGCCGGGCTCCTACTTCGGGGTTCAGAAGGGCCGTGTGCCACTCTCCTTGAATCCTCCATGCAATATGGATCCCCACGACACATCCAAGCACTGGCAGAGCCCGGCGCCCAGGTCTAGGCCGCCCAGTGTTTGCGCTGCTCACCGCAAGGCAGGCAGAAAAGGAGTGGCTTTGAAGGTGTTGAGATGTTGCAAGTCGGGGCCTGTTGGGAGCTCATTCCTTTGTACTCCAGGCACCTGAAGCGGAAAAGGCGGAGCTGCTGTTCCGGTTGTCGCAGGAGTACCGCAGGCGTTGCTGGGTGTGCTGACAGTCCTGAGAGGGAGACTGTGTAAGGGCCTTGTTTTGCGTCTCGGCAGATTGGGCGAGAAGATGCCGAAGGGCTTGAAGATTGCCTCCGTGCCCACACTCTCTGCGCACCTCGATATGTTGATGAGGCTCTAGCAGAGTGGTCTGGGCCAGACCACATGTCTTCCGTCGTGTCTGCCCAATTCGGGTTTTCGGACACTTGCATTGAACCGCACAATACACGGATTGGCTTGGTTGTGGTACACAAGTACCAGGCGAAGAAGTGTACAGCGTGCAGAGGACTAACTCTGCGCATCAGCTGCATTAGCTCGAGCTGTGGCCTCAAGGTTGCGCAGGGCAGTGATTTTGGCAGCGCGTGACATACATTGCGCGCCGCTGCACACCGCCTTTTGCATTGTAAAGACCGGGCAGTCCGCGCAGACCTTAGGTCCACACCTCAAGACAGCTGTGGTAGACAAAGGTCCAGAGATGCTGCACCGTAGGGTCGGTACAGCCAGACACGCCGAGCGGTATTCACATGCAGGCGTGTCTGTGAGAAGCGAAGGTGTCCGGGTCTCCCGTCTGTGACTTCAGCCACGAGCATCGCAGATAGGTTCGTCACGTTCTGCGGCAGCAAGCCGGGCAGACTCGTTTTGGACCTGGAGGAACCCCGGCCGAGGCGGCCGCTCTCTCGCTGCCTCCTCTGTCCAGCACCGGCTTCTGCGGGCGCCGGCGCTGATGAGACGTGATGTGACTCTAGGACTCTAGTGGCGCTTTGAATGCAGGTCCAGGGTCCTTCTGCCGGTCATGATAGACTCAGTAGAGGGGCGCAAAAGATTAACATAGCTTTAGTGATGCTGGTAATTCGCTGTTCTCAGTGCGGTTGTATGCACATCGGCGGCGCGAACAATCAACGGATTAGGCCCTGATTAGGCCAACTCGTCGCTGCACGGACCAGAGAAATCAAAGTGAACTGCAGGTTGGGTGATGACATGCCGGTCCAGTGGGCCAGCTGGGCTCCGTGGGGCAGCTGAAGAAGTGGAGATGTTGAGAAGCCGCCAGCACCATGCGACGCTGTCTGCAAAGGGTTCCCAGTATGAAGGAGCCATCAATTTGACGCACATGTACAGAGTCGTGTACAGGGCTGTCGCTGTTGCAAAACAGGCTCATGTCCTCAGCTAAGTTGGGCGTTGAAGGCATCACTGCAATGATGTGCCTAGGATGTGGAACTCGCTTCATGTTGCAAGCTGTGGCGAGCCAGATAAATGCAGTGAATCGCGATGCGAAGCCAGAATCCCAATTCTGTCTGAGCCCCCAAACCATCAAAGCGCAAAGGTGCCTTCGCAACCACCATCCGAGATGTCTGCAGCGCAGGCCATGCGACTCGCAACGCTCTTGGGGGGGGGCCAACATGGCCTTATTTTACAGAAAACACGTCAAGGGGGCCCGCGTTTTTGTTTGTAATTTAGCAACCAATATCTCAGTGCATCATAGCAGTTTCAGAACCGGCCCTGGTGGCATGTATTTGTGGCGGCTTTATTTCAGCATGCTTCACCCAAAAGCTTTTTATTCATACAGTTTCTTGCCTGCGTACAGAGAAAAGATGCAATAGATGACTGAGTAGTGTCCCAGGGGTAACGCGACCAGAGAGCAAAGGCGCTGGGCCCCCGGTGGGGGGAAGCAAAAAAAAAACACAGAACAAGCACATAAAAAGAAATATGTATATATGTATATAGGTACTGT